TTATTATAAAGGCGCTTTTTTTTTTAACCTCCGCCTGGTAACTAGTAATATTACTTAAAATATTTAGCATGGTTATAGTTTAAGTATTTGCCTAGGTATGGCTTTTTTATAAATAAAAAATTATTTAAATTATTAGGTTATTTTATACTAGTATTTACTTTTATACTTTTTTTAGTAATAAAAAGTACCTTAACTTTAGTTACTAATGGCCTTATGCAAGTTTAGTTAAAAAACTTTTTTTTTTTTTTTATAATTATTTTTTTTTGCTTGGGCATGTTATTCTTAACACTTGTTAAGTATAATATATAATTATTATAGTATTTTAGCTTTTAGTATTTATAAATAAGAAACTTTTTTTATATATTTTTTAAAATTTTTTAGTACAGGTGTTCTTAATACTAATTATTTTTATACTTATAGGATAAGTGTTTCTTAATTTAGTTTAGTAATTATATAAATTACTTAATAATTTATTATGGTTACTACTTTATGTTACCCTACTTAATTAGCAAGTTATTAACTAGCACTATTTTATTATTAATTATTTTAATTAATATATTAAGAAATTTTTTTTAAATAAACATAATTTTTATTTTATAAATATTAAACTATTCCCGCCTGCGGTCCTTTACTAAAAATTTAATAAATTAAAATATTTTATGGCTATTATTTAGGTAGTAGGTTAGGAAGGTTTTAAAATATATTTTTATATTTAACTTTTAATTATTAAATTTCTTAATATTATTTGCCTGGTATGGTTTTACAAATAATAATTTTTTTAAAAAGTTTTTTTTAAGTTATATTATTATTATTATAACCCTTTTAGTAATTTTTTTTAAAATTACAAGGTTATTAAAGTCTATTTAGCGCGGGACTATTAATTACTTAATAAATTAAATAAATATATTATATATTTACTAGTTAGCTTTAGCCCTTGTAATTTATTAGCATGCCTTTTTAATTTAAGTATAAATTTATTAGCGTTTTTCTTTTTTTTTTTTATAGCATTCTTATTCCTGTAATTTTTTTTTTTTTACTAAAATTACTTTTAGTATTACCTATAGTTTTTTAATAATTTTTTTATTATTTTTATTTTCTTGCCCCTGGGCGGGCCTTTTATATTTTAATATTTTTTATATAATTTAGGATTTAATAGCAGGGGCGCCCTTAAAATTTTTTAGTTAAAAGTTTATAAATTTTTTTTTAGGTATATTAATTAATTATTAAGTTAGGGTTTATAATTACTTTTTTAAAGTATTATTTACTAGCCCCTAAAATTAAGTTTATTACCTAGCTATTATATAAAATAAGTTCCCTTTTAAAAAAAAAAGTAATTAAAACTATAAGTCGTGTTTATATATTATAATAAGCTTAAAAAAATATAAATTATTATAATAAAAAAGGCATTATATATTTATAATAAGAACTAATTACTAATTTTTTAAGTTAGAGTTTAAAGTTAAACTTAGTATTTTATATATTATATAACTAGCCACCGCCTTAGCACGCGGCTAGTTTAGCGCTAATATTCCTCCGCCCGGCGGCCTCAGGCCGCCGGATTGCGTTATTACAACACTGCGCAGTTGCAACACCATAACGGTGATAACATATTAACACCTAGGTAATTAACCGCTGGCTAAAGCTTTAAAAAAACCTTAAAAAAATTAATAAAGCCCCCCTTTAATATTAATCTAGCTTAGTATCTTAATATTAAATAGCTTTTTTAAATAAATTAATAAATAATAATACTTTACTAGCTTTTTTACTATTTTTATTTACTTAATGCCTACAAGCAGGTTCTGCTAGTAAATTAAAAATAAATAAAAAAAATTAATAAGTTACTAGTTAAGTATAGCAGCTAAAAAGGTTTAAATAGCTTTTTTTTATTTTAGAATTAGCAAGACTGCTTTTATAATAAAGTAATTTAAAAAAAAAAACTACTTTTATAGCCCTTTAATTAATAAAATAAGTAGGCAAGTTTTCTTTATTATATAAATTTTATAAAAAAAAAAACTAACTTAAGCGCTTAAATAAAAACACCTTACTTTAAAACTTACTAATTTAGCCCTTTATTTTTATTATATAACTACTAATTTAGCAGCGGCCAAGAAATTATTTTTTATAATAAAATTATAATATACTAAACTTTATAACTAGTTAAAAATAAAGCAAGTTAAAAAGCTTATTTTTATTTAATAAAATACTTATTTTATTAACAAGATTCCTAGTGTTCCACAGGCCCCTATACTAAAAAAATTTAATAAAATAGTATTTATTAAAAATTAGGAGTTAAAAAAAAGTTTTTTTTAGCTTAGTAACTTTTTAGTTAACACGGATAAAAAAAACACTATAAAGCTAGCTTAAATACTTAGTAAATAAGTTTATAAGCTTATTAACTAGCCACTATCCCTTTAGTTATATAAATAACCTTATATTAATTAAGTTTAGGGGTTAATTCGCAGGTAGTTTAATAGCTAGTAAGTAAGTAATTTAGGGGTATATATAAAAAAAAGCAGCCGTAGTAATATTTATAATAATATTTTAAATAAAAACTTTTTATTAATTAATAAAAGTAATATTATAAAGGTCCAAACTTACCTGCATTTACGCTCTTTAAAAAAAAGTTAATTTTATATATAAAGTTAGAATTATTACTTTGCTAGTAGTCCTTTACTTAATAATTTTACCATAATGCTAACCTAATTAGGAGGCGGCAAGTCACGTGATTTTATTCTTTCGTCAGGAATCATTCCTTACCGAAAAAATCCTTAAATTTCAACTTTCCGTAATTACCGTCAGCTATTTTGTCCATCCCTACGCTGCATGGGCCGGATGAGTCCTACGTTACTCAGGAGCGGAGATGCAGGCAGCTGTGGCAGGCAGTTGGGATTGCAATACAATACTTTTTGGTTTCGGACTTGTCGATTTTAAGGATGATGGATCTTGTTGTTTGCACATGACTTGGCTCGAGCTATTTTGATTCTCATTAGTCTTGAATCTTGGCCTTAGAGTTCCGTCTTGAGCTTAGGCGAGCCCCTTCAGACAACCAGTACTTTTGAAATATCTTCCAGACCGAAGCGAATCGGACAGCTTATATTATACCGACGATATTCTGATTGCCATGCCAGGGTACTTCGGTTCTACTCTTATCGGCAGCGTACAGCAGTAGCTCGTCTCCACTGGGAGAGGTGCAGAAAGCAATGCAGCCCAGGAGCAAATCATTGCTGTACACAAACGCAATGAGCCCAAACTCCCAACTGGGCGGAGAATGAGGAGAACCTTACCTACCTTACTTGCGCCTGAGATAGTCTAGCTCATCATAGTCATACTTTCAGTTGAAGAAGAATGGATAGGTGACTCTGGTGACACTAGGGAGTGTCAGAGACTGACAGAGAATTAATTCGCTGATCATTTAATAATAAACTGGCGTTGTGTGGTCTTCCCCACTCTGGGCTTGATGATTTTTACGGTCCGCCATTTCAAAGATTGGATGTGTACCGGTACCAGCTGTTTATCGTGATTTCTGCTCCTTGGAAGGTCAAGGATCAAAATTGAAGACAATATTATAATAATAATAATCAGCACCCGGCCTGATTCTCAATCGGCACTGCACTCCACATCCTTAGTTCCATGCATGACTCTGACAGAGATTCAAATCAAGCCTGGCCCAAGGCTGAGACAGTTCTCAACCTCTCCCTCTCATTTAAAGTGTTACACAATGGCAGTAGATCATCGGTCTCCCATTGGCTGCATATGTCCAAACTAAAAATAAATAAGCCAGATTGTAGCAGGATTGTTGAGCGAACGGCATTTGCTCATGTATCATCTGCTTCTTGCTCCCGCTGTGGTTGGCTTGTTTGCTGCCGCCTCATTCTTGACTGGCTGGAAACCTGTGAGGTATCTACCGAGGGTACTTCTGCTCTGAGGTATCTTTGAGTGACTCAAGCTGATGGCAGGTACATTGTTGAGACTTGAGATGACTGTGTTTGTCACTAGTGCGACAGGAGTGGGTTCTTGATCCATAGAGCGCCCCTATTAGAGCCGACAAGACCACACAATTCGTCTGGAAAATAACAGGGTCAGAATCCAGGTGGGGAAGAGTAAAAAGTCAACACTGTCAGTGTCAACTCAACTAACAGCCCGAAGAATACTACTAATCACAATTTGAGGCAGGGCCTTGACTGTTCGTAGGTAGATAGATATCGTGGATGCAATGCAGGCTCCTGCAGCAGGGCCACCGGGGGAGACTAGAATGTGAGATAGGAATATTGACAATTATTACTACATCTGATACTGGGCTCACTAGTGGTCCCAGATTCTGTCCATTTGAGTCCATGGCTTGTTTGACCGCAGAATCCCACTGGCCTGCTAGTTTAGCTGTGCTAGCCCAAGATCCATCCTCTCAACTCGAGACTTCCTTGGCAAGGGTCTTTTTTCCTGTCCTTTTTTCTGTTCGTTGTTGACCTCCAGCCCAATTTCCTTTGCTTTGTCTTGCTTTCCTTTCCTTTTCTCGATCCATACAGCTGCCCGTCCAGTAGCAGTCAATAAACCCCTTGCTTGGCCTCTCTCGCATCGCAAGAGAAGACCCGGGAAATTCTCCTAGTCTTCTCTTGTCCAAGAAAAACGGGCAAGGTGCAGCGCGCTAGCCACTTTGCTTTTCTCTTGCTGGTCTGAGAGTGACAAGTGACATTCATTGACTTTTCTCAGTACTTCTCGCTTCATGTAAGTACTTCCTGCCCATCCAGCTTGTCTTCAGGTTTCCCCTCCCAGCCTATCAGTATCAGCCCATCAGCTTGTCTGGTCGGACCTGTCGAGTCTTGATGCCTCGGACTGCTATTCTCCGCTCTTTCGTTTGTTTCATATCTTCCCCAATCTACTGCTTCCCCCAGCTTTAAGTCTCTGCTTGCTACTACATTCACTTCATATTTCTACCTGGGTTAAAAGACAGCGACTTCGACCCAGCAGTCGACTAACCTCGTGCCATACATAGTGCCCTCATCATGACCGTTGCTGCACCTCCAGTGCCCTCAGTGCACGAGAATGGCATGAATGGCAACATCCCTGGACACCATGTCAACATGAGCCTCCCGCGTTTTCATCCCATTGCCATGAACCCTGGCCAGCCAATACCCCCGGAAGCCATGATGCATGGCCATCAGCCCTATCGTCACTTCCCACCGCCTCCAATGCAAGAGCAAGGCCCGCCGGTTCCCCCAGGCCCTCCAGGACCCCCGACTCCAAACGTACCTGGTATAGATCACATCGAAGCTCGACTGAGGCAACTGGAACATGAGGAAGCTGCTCGCATGGCAGCTCGTAGCCGCCTACTTGCTATGCGGAAGCGAGAGGATGAAGAATTCCGTAGGATGACCGAGAACGCCGAGGTAGAAGAAGAGGTATGGAAACGCATTTGTCCAATCATAGGGCTTGTTCTGACCAGTGAGTTGTTCGATTAGGAACTGCGTAGGCAACGGAAACGACTGAAGCGGGAATCCATGGGCCTTTACAACCCAAGTCTTGAATCGCCTCCTCTTCGCCCTACGCCGCCTCGCCGTTTGTCAGAGACAAATGCTGCCACCACACTCGCCTTCCTACAACAGCAAACACCTCAAGAACCCCTTACCGTTGTACCTCCGCCTCCACAAGCACAGATCCCTCGACCGCCTCATCCCCAACACATGCATCACGATCCCAACGGCAACGGTTCGATTCGACGAAAGCAAAAGTACACCATCAAAAACGTGGAAGCCTGGGGAGAGCGCCACGGACGACCAGCCGCACATGATCCTTCTGGACGGGCTCTCTGGAAGCGTCCTTCAGACGGCAGCCTAGTCTACCTCACATGCCCCGTATCTGGCTGTGGCAAGGCCGACTTTGTGACCCTCCATGGCTTCATGTGCCATCTTACCAAGAAGCACAAGGACCGTAGCCTAGGCAGCCAGTCCCGAGCTCTCGAAGTATGCGGCGTCGTCTTCGACCCGGCTGCTCCTCTGCCTCCAGTCTCCAACCGACACCGCGCCTCAACGGAGGAAAGCCGAATCGAGTCTGGACCCACGGATCCTGATGGATACCCTCACGACACAGAATATTCCACCGGCTCGGATGACGAGAGCGCCGTTCATTCTGTCGTTAAGACTGAGGCCACGGACAGATCGCTCCCACCGCCTGGTGCGCTGCTCACACCCGCGGACGAACAACCGCCCGTAGCACCTTTACCTTCCAAGACTCACAGCTCCGCGCGCCAGACCATTTCCTCCATTATCGACCGTGAGCCGGAAGCAGCACCTGCCCTCCGTGAGCACGACATTTCTCCTCTCCCCCCTCTCTACAACACAATGCCGAAGCTAGATTCCAGCCATCCCACAACGCCCGAAGAAGCAGAGCTGAAAGCACGAGAGCTCAAGCTCAAGACGGAGCTTGAAAATAAGGAAAATACGGAGTTGAAATAAGTACGGATTGAGTACGATTTACTTGACATATACATCTACATACGGCACTATCTATACATACATACGGGGACGACCACCTACTCCTACTGTCTGGACTATTGCATTGCGTTGCGTTGCATTGTTTTTTGCATATGCTGCACTGTCTGAGCTAAGCTGAGTTGAGCGTGAGCGTGAGCATGTTGAGCTTTGTGTCGATAATCTATACCCTATTGTTAGGTATAACAGGTGAATCTTCTAAGTAGTTCCACCTCTAATAAATAATGTTTACACAACCGTCATTTTCCCGTCTATCGTAACTGGAACACTATCTACAAGAGAAATCTACAAACACTCAATCCCTGAGGACCAACCCATGGATCAAATACCCGCTTCCTACCCCCAGCTCCCTCCCCAGGGCATCATCATTGATCCTATAAACCCTAAAATACCGCATCGTCTCCCGCAACCACGCCTCAAAAACATCAGGCGAGCGCTGCTGCTGTGCGATGACGCATATCGTTGGTTTTCGTCCACTCTTGCTCCCACTCTCCGTAAACGCCGAGGGGGAAGGTCTAAGCCGCGCAATCTCCGCGCACGTCCGCACAAACGGCGCAATGAGAGCCTCGTTATAGATACAGTCGCACGAGAGGAGCAGGTCAAAGCCGGGATCGAACTCTTCCCCCGCCTCTTGTTCTTCACCAGCAGCAGCAATCTGCTGCTTCAGCGTCTCCGGGTGATCCGTTTCCCAGTCCAGAGACGTAAAGGTTATATTCTGATGCGGGTTCAACTGGGCTGCATCGTTCTGTGAGATTGCGGCGGAAGCTTTCTGCTGCTTCTTCCCCTTCTTAATGCCCGATGACGAGGAGGCCTTACTCGTCGCTTTCGGCGGGTTACTCTGGAGATTCTGCCGGAACAGCCGGTGCACGTATTCCTGGTCCGTGGCGATATAGTGGCCGTTTGTTCCCTGGGGCTCAAGAAGAGGGGAGAGCGCAAGCGCTGTTAGGGCTGAGATCCCGCATCCTAGCTCGACGATTGTCGAGGAGGGCGTGAGGTGCTCGGTTGTCCAGAGCGGGTTGCTTGATGTGTTTGAGAGCCAGGAGGCGAAGAGGGGGGTTATTTTCCAGAGGACTAGGACGGTTAGCATTGCTTTTGCTATGTGGTTTGAATGTATGCTGCTGACCTGCACCGGTTGTTCCCCCAGCGCGCGAAGACGAGAGCAACGTGGGCGATTGGTGGATTGTGTACTCGCGGTCGTGGATGGTGATGTCGACGGCTGAGGCCTTTGAATCGACGAATCCGAGATTTGAGGAGGGGATGTCTTGGGAGAAGAGGAGGAAGGATTCTGAGGTCTCGTATTAACTGCCTTTTCTGGGATATAGTTCTACAAGCAAGGTTGATGGTTCTTGTAGGTGATTGGCGTACCCTCGTCGGCATCTTCGACCTCCTGGCCAATAGTGGCGAGGATATGTGATACATCTCCCATCTTGCTGATTAGTTTGGTTTGCGGTCCTGAAGCTATGATTGACAACGCCTGGACTTAGACTGGTATGACGCCAGGTCCACATTCAAAATGAAGCTTTTCTTCGGAGAGAAGAAGGACGCATGTCATTGGCCGAAGCCGAAAGCTCGAATGATTAGTCATTCATCCGGGAAGCCCGTCACATGATTTTCTTGATGACCTTGCACGCTGCATCGGCGTTGGATCGGATCGCTGCAGTTTGTTTTACAGACCAGATCGCAGAAACACTGCAGAAACACCTGAAGAAGCAAGAATAGATCATCAGCGTCGCAGCAAGTAACTCCGTGTCCCGGATGCCGGAGTATATAGCGTCAAATTATGGACACTGAGCTCCGACGATCATCCGCCTAGCACGGTTCGAGACGGACGTTGGGGCTAAAAATCCCAACAGAAGCGTCGTCCTGGAAATAAAAGCAAGCCAGGACTTGGATATGAAAGAGAATCAGAAGCACAAGACTGGGGTGTCTGTGTGCCTGAGATGTACCGCGGCATCTGGCATCTGTTTGATGAAAGAGTTTCTGGGCTTTCTGGGCGCTGGCCAGACACGAGAGAGTGAGACATGCAGAGGCCTTTGTAGAACATTGGTTTTGTATGCTTTGGAAACGTGCCACAGAGTATATTGAGGAGATATCTGAGTAGATCAATCAATATTAGACAGCAACTGAATATGATGCACAGAGACGGAGTTTTAGATATCAAAACAGAAGAGAGGGGACGCAAGCAGCAACTTGCAAGCGCGGTGCTGCCAAGGTCCAGCCACCGGAGCAGCCACCAGTGACTTCATTGTCTAGACACTTTGTCTCTCTCCCTCATCCTCTCTCGCTCTGACTCTCCCACGAGACACAGCTTCATTAAACCTTCATTAAGCCTCCTTCTCTAGTGTCTTAGCCTTTTCCCCTCCCCACGGTTCTCCTCGCACCCCTTAAGAACCGTCTGCTGCCGCGCCCCCGCATTCCCGACCTCTCCCCGTCGCAGCTTCCGCCCGTCTCTGCTCCAACCCTGAGAACGCGATAGCCGAATTGCTCCTGTATGTTACACTCACACTCTCCACCTTTCGAACTGACCCAACCTAACCATTTATCTACCTCTGATATAGACTTTACCTTATTCCATATCTCTGCTACCCGCCCTGATACCCCCTTCAAAATGACGAAAGACACCGGCGTGGTTTACCCGCGCATGAACAAAAAGGGTCCCTTCACCGTGGAGGTCCCTGGCGCTGAGCCCGTCCCCGGAGAGACCATCCCTCGCCGTCTGCCCAAGGCCAAGGATGGCCTCATCATGCGACCCGCCGAAGACCTGACAACCACCTACGACGCCTTCCGCCGGTCCGCGCGCATCTTCGGCAATGCCAAAGCTGTTGCTAGCCGCAGCCTCATTAAGACTCACGTGGAGACCAAGAAGGTCAAGAAGATCGTTGATGGTGTTGAGCAGGAGGTCGACAAGCAGTGGACGTACTTTGAGAAAAGCGCCTACTCTTACAAGAGCTTTATTGAGTATGAGAAACAGGCGCTGGAGCTTGGTAACGGCCTGCGGAAGATCGGCCTGAACAAGGGCGACAAGGTTCACCTCTATGGTGCGACGAGGTGCGTGTGATTCCTGCGGAAGTTGAGCACAAATGCTAACATTGGTTGTGCAGCGCAAACTGGTTGGCGATGTCTCACGGTTCGTGCCTTGACTATACCCTGTTTTAGGTGAACGTGGCGCCCATGTCTAATCGTGATTGAATAGGTTCCGCGTCCCAGTCGCTGACTATTGTTACTGCGTATGATACCTTGGGCGAGGATGGACTGGCGCACTCCATTGTGCAGACCGAGAGTGACGCTATTTTCCTGGACCCTGTCCTCATCAAACCTCTTACGAACGTTTTGGACAAAGCGACATCCATCAAACATGTTATTTGGAACTCCGATGAAGAGCTCAAGCAGGAGGACTTGGATAACTTGAAGACCAAGTTCAGCCACCTTAACGTTTTGAGCTTTGAAGACCTGCGGAAACTGGGCGAGGAGAACCCTTACGACCCCGTGCCCCCGGCTCCGGAGGACCTGTGCTGCATCATGTACACATCTGGCTCTACCGGCCCGCCAAAGGGCGTTCCCCTTACCCACGCGAATGTCGTTGCTGCGAGTATGTTACCCAGTTCATTCACATTTGGGCAGAACTGACATGAATAGTGGCTGGTATCAACGAGATTATTGGACCATACATCACTCCTTCAGACGCCTTGCTCACGTACCTCCCACAGTCGCATATCCTCGAGTTCATGTTTGAGAACCTGTGTCTCTTCTGGGGCGGTACAATGGGCTACGGAAACCCCCGTACACTATCCGATGCTTCCATGCGCAACTGCAAGGGTGATATCCGCGAGTTCCAACCTACCATTCTTGTCGGTGTCCCTGCCGTCTGGGAATCTGTAAAGAAGGGTGTTCTCAACAACCTGAACAAGAACAGTGCTCTTGTGAAGAGCCTCTTCTGGGGCGCCATGTCTGCCAAGAACTTCCTGATGACCACCGGTTTTCCCGGCTCAACATTGGGTGCTTGGTTCCTCGACAATGTGATCTTCCGCAAGCTGAAGGATGCAACTGGTGGCCGTCTGCGCATTATCATGAACGGTGGTGGACCTGTCTCCAAGGAGACCCAGAAATTCCTCTCCTTGGCCATCGCTCCTATGATTAGCGGCTATGGATTGACCGAGACTTCGGCTATGGGTGCTCTGAACGACCCTGGAGCATGGAACCCCAATGTTCTCGGTGAGCTTCCAGCTTGCATTGAAGTCAAACTTGTCGATTTCCCGGATGCTGGCTATTTTACGAAGAACACCCCGCCTCAGGGAGAAATTTGGATCCGCGGAGGTAGCGTGTCAACGCACTACTTCAAGAACGAAGAGGAGACCAAGCAAGCGTATGCCGAGGGCGGATGGTTCATGACCGGCGACATTGGCGAGTTCGACAAGAACGGCCACCTCAAGATCATCGACCGCAAGAAGAACCTCGTCAAGACGCAAAATGGCGAGTACATTGCTCTCGAAAAGCTCGAGTCTGTTTACCGGTCTTCCCCTATTGTTGGCAACATTTGCGTCTACGCAGCCGAAGACCAGGATAAGCCAATTGCCATCATTGTTCCCGTTGAACTTGCTCTGAAGAAGCTTGCCAGCGAAAACGGTATTGAGGGTGACTCTGTCGAGACTCTTGTGCACAACGAGAAGCTTAACGCTATTGTCCTCAAGCAGCTCCAGACTGCCGGTCGAGCCAGCGGTCTCAAGGGCATTGAGATCATTAATGGGGTTGTCCTTTCTGACGAGGAGTGGACTCCTCAGAACGTACGTCCTTGCAAATTTTTTTTTTCTTCTTACAGTTGACTAACGGCAACAGGGCTACATGACCGCCGCTCAAAAGCTGCAGCGCAAGAAGATCGTTAGCAGGTACCAGCAGGACATCGACAAAGCCTACGGGAAGAAATGATCGCGTCTCTTCCCTCTGTGCTGAATATACCCCAGCATTCCCATTATGCGAGAATGCAAAGCTGCCTAGTATCCCACCGCGCCGAGCGAGCGAGCGAGTCTATGTTGATATTGACGTTATGTTACCACGATGTAGCAACGCGCGCCACGATCTGAACCTCTGACCCGTTACCGATATACCTTTCCGCTTCGTTATATTTTATTTCTTAATCACAATGTATGATGCTTGTGCTCTTCCGTTCTGTACTGTCTTGTCCTGCTCTTTCCTTCCCTTTGCGTAGAATGCCGTGCCACGCGATGGCTCCTGCTATGCATCACTCTTGGCTTTCCTGCACCCGTGCTGTCTGAGTTTATAAAACATCTTGCCTGCGCTATTCTTATTCTCTTCTCGGTCTTGACCAGCCGTCCAATCGAGCGGATTAGATATTTTAGGTTGTTTACCTAGCTCGCTGGGCTTAAGATGTGGCATCGATGCTCATACCCCCATTGCTGTCCTAAGTACAGACCGTAGCGGGTTAGCTAGCTAGATAGCTATTTAAATGACCCTGGTAGCTTTGTGTGCCCATGTTGAATGGATTTGAAGCCTGACAATGTATACGAGCCTTAACAGGCAGGCGGAGTAGGCTAGCAATATCTGTTGGATCGTCGGCCTCGCGTTCAGTCGCGACTCGCAACATCATTCTACGTCGTCTATAGATCTACTGATGCTCACGGCCTAATACACTACATCAGCAAGCGGCCCTCGCCTAAATAATAGCACTAACTTGCGAGGCCTCTTACAAAATGTCTCTCTGGAAGTCCGTACATCCCATCCCAACTCACATTTTCCTCCCGAATCTATTCTCCGCATCTCATCTCATGATCTCACCCGTCGCAGGCTCCCGCCAGCGAGCGCATTGACCAAGACCGACACCAATACTGACTACGAATATAGCTCCTACAAGGCCCTCTCGCCCAAGACGCGCGCGGTATTCGGACTCGGTGTTATTGCCTGGGCGTCTGTCGGTCTGTGGACGTCGTCGGAGGTCGAGCAGGCGATGGGGATGGTTCCGACGGAGCAGGAGAAGGCGGAGCTTGATCGGAAGCTGGCGATTCGGGTTTCGAGGGTGGAGAGGGATTGAAATTGAGGATTGGATGTCGAGGGGATCGGGGCTGAAAGAGAAGAAACGGATTTGAGATGCCTCCCGTGATGCTGTGGATATGCTGGAATGGACTGTGGCGCGGAGACCAAGGCCTGCACTGGAAAGCTTGMTACAGCCTGTGGACTCAGAGAGAGCCTGTGGACTCAGAGAGAGCCTGTGGACTCAGAGAGAGCCTGTGGACTCAGAGAGAGCCTGTGGACTCAGAGAGAGCGTGAGGATCCATGGAGAATGGATTTTCTGGGTCCAGTGCATGCCATATCCCATTTGGGTGGATTTGACTGAGTTGGTCTTAAGAGTGATCGATGGGTGATGCATCACCGGCATATCTCGAAATTTGCTTCAACGCTCGTTCAAAAGAAGATTCAGAAAACGGGTTCTAAGCTTCAAAGAGCCAGTCGTCTAGTGTACCTGCTTGAAGGATTCTCCGGTGGAGACTTGGTGAGGTAGATCATGGGCACGGGATATCAGTCTCAGCCTCCAAAAGGGCGAAGTCATAGTCCTTTGTCCCGGCCTCACGGAGAGCATGCCGCGCGCCGTTCCTGGCTGGTCGGAAGATTGTTGGCGCAACACAGCGTCCGGGAATAACCGTTTTGTGGAACAGAAGGCTGAGGGTACACGACTTGTCTGATAAGTAGCCTAATCTCGCAGAGAGCTTGTTGAAGAAACACGATCGACCTGCTACGGAGCATTTTGCTGATCCAACTAAGCCTCCAATGGACAAGACCATTTCCCCAAGAACAAAGGTATATAATACCGTGGCTGGATTTGAAAATACAGCCAGAACGGACGGCGAATAACACCCTACTGCGATACGGCAGGCTGTAATGAAAGATCTCATTCTCCACGTAATTTTATCGGTCTTCGCACGTCGGCTTCCGTCGAACAAATCGCTCAGGGTTCGGGGTCATCATGACGAATGTGAGGCGCTCTAGACCAGGATCAACGATCTGACAATCTTGGGTAAGATGGGTCCTTCCGGGATCAACGTCGTCTTGCCTCTCCAGCCGTGTCTGCTCGAGGCTCAAGGACCCATTTCCTCGGCGAGTTGGAGCGAGAGGTGAAACTGAAACGTACGTAGAGGAGGGTAGAGGAGTGGGGTACAGCTAGGGGTCAGATCACCCAACTCGTAGGCGATCATCTGGAGAAAATGTGCGAGGAATTGGCGCTCCATTACGGAGATGGTCAGGACATTGCGTTGTAAGCAACTTTCGGTGTACCGGGATGGCCAGCGACTGGACGCAACCGTTACACGGCAGGTTGACGATTCCTGGGGATATCTTTTGGAAAGTTTCCAACGGCAGCGGCGCGTCGCTGTTGGCCAAGCATGTCAATCAATCTCCTTTGACAGCCGGCGGCCTGCAAGTCGCGCGCCTGAATCCTTCACTTGGGTCCTTGACACCCCCCTTGTACGACGTGCATACGGGCTAACCTAAGAGAGGCATGCTGCGTCACGAGTCCCTCTCCACTGCGCAGAAGTAAACAATCGCTTGCGCTGACTGGCTAGCAGCGGCCGATGTCTTGGGTGATCTTGATACAAAGTTGATACATCAGATCAGAGATGAACTGTTCAACACAAGACCCCCAAGGGCAGAAGCCGCAGAACGCATGCTTGACTAGCGGACCCTGGAGCCTCGAGATCGACAAATGGGGGACAGACGAGTAATTTGCTCATGCGAATCGAACTGGACTGGCGCGCCGTTTCGGGTCCTTAGCGGACAAAGCATAAACTCCGACCGAAGTCTGGTCTCTGCTGAAAGTGGAATCCAAGAGAAGCGGCACGTCGGAGAGAGAGGCTCCGGGGCGTCGGCGATCATTTGAGCGGAGGTTGATCGGAAAAACACGAGACGAATGCTAGGCGCTTGGGGAGGTATAGAGTACGGACGGTATAGGTAATAACGGACTGCAGTTATGGGGTCGCCTCTCAGCTCTGACAGCAATAAAGAAGGGTTCATCGACGCCGTTGAAGCCGACTTTCACATTGGACACACACAGTACAGCGCGTACAATGTACAACGTGCATCGTTCGATCGACCACCGCAGTCCCTAGTTGACAGGTTTCTTGTAATCGATCCGTGGCTACTGCTAGACCGCGAGTATGGAGATGGAGCTCACGGAACGTGCCGAGGCCAATGGGACTAGCGAGGAACAGAACCAGGCCAAACAGCGAGCTAGTGCAAAGTCGGGCTGTCAGCAGAGAAGAAGCACGCCTATAGGCCAAGATGACGAACCCATTCTGGACTATTCTCTTGGAGGCAGACTTAGACGGCAGTCTACTGTACGTCCGGTCGATCCTCGACGCTGGAGCGCCGGATTGGAGGTGTTGCAGATCCACCACTTTAAGCGCATCGCCGCATCCTTGACGTCGCGATATTAAATATTGCATAATTTGGCAGGGAAAGCAATCCTCAATGGAAGGAGGCACAGGGCTCTGAAGCGCGTTCGTGGAGACTGAGGCTGGAACTAGTGAAAGGAAGGCGAAGGATGGATGGAAAGGGGAAAAGAAGAAGGGAAGGAGCCCAAGGCGGAGCTTGAAGAGACGGCAACAAAGAAGGCAAGGCCAAACACGAAGCAACGACCAAAACCAAGGCCAGGAAAAGGGGCACAAACACTGAGATTTGGCATTGCATGCTCATCGCTGGTTGACGTGGTCTGTCTACTGGGTTTCTAATTTTAAGGCCTGCCTGATGCCAGTAGGAGTGCCTGGAGCGAGAGTTGTAAGTCAATAACCCATTATTTCATTATTCATTATTTGAAAGACATTCCCAACCGGACGGATACTATTTCCTAGCGAGGATTAGCCCAGTCCAGCCTCGCGCACTGCTTTTTGGCGGGTTTATTGCTTCCCGGTCTCGAGTCTCCAGCTGTCCCGAGTCCCGCCTCTAGATCCTCCATATCGTAGAATAAAGTAAAGAGAGAAAGAGGGGTTTGAGCAAGTCTCATCACCGTCCTCACAATGGTCTACCTGTATGTCAACTCGTTTTGTTCTCTGATAATAATCCCATGCAGCTTTCGTTCGTCCGAAGGAAACCGGATCGTTAGCATGGCAAACAAACAGTACACAGGAACGGCAAAACAAAATACAGTGGAGTCGATTCAAGAAAAAAGGAAAGAGATCGAATGACATGTACCGCCGAGCTCAGCGGTTTCTGTGGAGAAGATGAGGAAAGGTGTTGCATAGCTCGTGTTGGGGTCTATTTGTCACATTGAAAAATGACGGTGAAGAGCCAGATCATAAGGTCAAAGTAGAATAAGAGCATTAAAATATTGGTCTCATTTTTCATCCGCCCATCGCTGGTTGCAGCAATCAGTACAGGAAGGGGAGGCAAGGGGTCACAGCCACACAGGGCACCCTAGCATCGGAAAAGGTAATCATCAGGTGCAAAGGCTCTGCGATGTTGGAAGCCGGTAGTATGGGCTACTCCCACTACTACCATTCCCAGATCGAGCAGAGTAAATGGTGTCGTAGCCGTTGGGATTCGTGTGATGATAGCGCGGCGGATGTTTGAGGAAATGGGAGTCTCCTGGGTCATTAGAGACCAAAGACGCAATCGGATCGTAGGCCTCAGAAAAGCTCGTGTCGGAACTTTCGCTCGCCCGAGAAACCGGATCGAACTCGTAAGGTGGCGGCAGATGATTGCGAAAGTGGCTATCCTTTCGGATATCCATCATCCCGTAATTTGAGTCCTGATAAGACTCGATGCTTGGGGTGCTTTTTATCGAGTCCATCGGATCTAGAGAATCACTCATCATGCCAATGTCGAATGTGGAGGACGATGAGGATGAAATGTGAGGGCTTGCACTGAGGGGTGAGTGATCCGCCGTCGTCATTTGATGGTATTCCGACCTGCCGTAGTTATGACCGCCACGCTGAGACGAGTCGTACGGCAAGAGGGCAATGTGCGAGCGCGAAGTTTGTCCGAGCCCCGGAGGAAGAACAGCTCCTCCGCCTCCATCTCCAGCCCCTCCGCTCCCACCGTCGGGCCCCATGCTCGTCGAGCTATCTCGCCGACCATCTTTATAGTGGCCTGGTGAACGTCCCCGAACAACCATCGGAAATGACAATTTACGCGCGATTTTAACCCACTCGGTTCCGCCTATCGCATTTGAGATTTCGGCATAAAGATCGACAACCAGGTTGTAGTACTGTTGCTGGGCACGCCGCTTTCCGTTATTTGCAGTCGCTTTTTGGAATTGAATGCGCTCAAAAGTGTGTTGTGTTGGAGGCTGCGGCTGCTGCGGAGCGCCGCCGTACGTGGTACCATACTCCATCCCAATTCCACTCGACTGAGACATCAAGGGGAATCCATGTTGAGCACTTGCAGACGTTGATCCGAGACTTGGCACCATCCCCGGTGTTTGCGAAGGCTGCAATACCACCCTTTGCGGTGGCCTCTCCGACTGTTTATCGCGTTTCGGCGTGTGCTGTACAAGCTCGCGGACTTCGTTATGTTGTGCATTCACAATGGCTGATATTGACATGGCGAATTGATGAATCCGTTCGTTCCGACCTTCATATTTGAGGAAGAATGGGCCGTGGGCCGGTTGGTTGAAGGAGAACGAACACGAGATAGAGAAATAGTTCCGCCGATAGCAGGTCCACTTATCGTCCACTTGGAAGAATCCTTTGTGGATTTTGGCCCCGATCTCTGCCCGGACAACCTGATTTCCGGATATGATAGTATGAATGGGATTGGTCTCGTGAAACGGAGGTGCATCAGCGGTAGGCGCGGGCATACGCTGATCCATGTACATCGGCCCCGGTTGGGCAAACATCATATTCGGGGTGCGATCCATACAATCAAGCCCACGAGGGTTAGTTGTATACTGAGAAGGCCTTGCTATATCGCTGATGCTTGTCAAGGGCGGGAAAGCCGGGCCCCTGGGGATGCTGTATGCCCCAGTGTAATTATCGCCTCTCCCCAATAAAGACGCGTTACCCGATGATTGCACCGCGGACGACATACCTGTGCCTGTGGGAGGTTGACTAGAGCAAGGACAAGGCATGTTATCAGTTGCCGCATGACAAGCTACACCACATGAACTGGAGTTGCCTTACAGTGGAGGAACGCGGCCGTGCGACCTGAAATCCGACATTCTGTCGTAACTTAGACTAGACGAATGCGTATAGAGAGATCCTGCTGCTGAAGAAAAAGAATCTGTGGGAAAGACCAAAGATTTAATTTGGACCACGTTAGCCGAATCGCACAAGGCTTCTGAGCTTGCATGGAAGGTGATTGGAAGGAACGAACCGGAACATGAATCGGAGGGACTCATAAGCTGGAGCGTGGGAGAGTTTCCATATCTAAAAAGAGCATCCTAGTCAGATAACCAGCGTGATTTTCGTCGAAAGTCTGAGTGAGCTTTGATTGACAAAATCAGATGTAACGTGTTGCTTCTCGACATATCACGAGTACGCAACATGAATGATTGAATGAAAGGGAAGACGCGAGTATAAATGGTAGAGGCAGGCCCAAGGTGGACGTTGGATGCTAGGCGCAGGTGCACGAGCAAGTCGAATACAAAGAGATGATGAAGGGCAGGGAGGCAAGAGCGAGAATCCACCGCATTGGAGCCGGAGCGACGACATTGTGACTAGTCGCTGCAACTTGGCAGCAGGATGGTGGAGCACGAGGGTACATAGTCCGAATCAGAAGAAAACTTACGGCATATCAGGCAGCGCAGACTGCTGTGTGTATCTCAGGCCGTTGGTGGCGGGTATTGGGACAGACTGTGCAAGATGATTGCTAACCGCGCCGCTTCTTCGGTGGCTGTCTTCGTCTTCCATAGAAAAGCCAGTCGATCCAGGAAAAGGTCGCTGGGCTCCAGAGTAATCACCGTCAGAGGTGATGGGAATATCCAGCGGGAATGGGCTCTGCAGGAGCGCTGCTAGTTGAAGAAATGGTAATTAGAATAAGCGCAAGAGAATAATATAACGTCAAACGAACAAGAAATAAAAAGGAAAGTAAGAAACAGTATTACAGGAAAAACAAATACCATGAAATCAATAATCAAAAAGGACAAAAAAGAAAATAAGTGCGAGCCTATCGCTCCTTCGCTGGCCGAAACTGAAATAGGGTCCCATCCTTGCAAGGCAAGGATGATACTACATCCATGCGGGAAATCTCGATATGAACCAAGACAATGAGATGAAGAGTTGGAAGAAGCACAAAAAAAGATAAATCGTGTAACCAGAGCGTAGGCTACTGGAATGCCAGAGGATAGAAGAACAACGTCATCCGGGGCGTAGATCGCATGTCATCAGCCGGGCTGCTCGACCTGGAGGGGCAGATGACAGCCAAATGTCCATGGTGAAGTTGCTGGTAGTGAATCTGACGAGGCGGCGGGCAAGAGAGGAAACGGAAAGATGGCATTTCTTACAGTGATTCATCTGGGGCCACTCTGCAGTTTCCACCCTGGACCAGAGGCTGATTATGATTCGAGTTCAAGGGCCGTTGGCAATCAAGCTTATGGGGAGGCTGAAAGCTACCAAACGCGGCGATCCAAGAGGCTAGGTCCTCGACGGCGCAGAGTATAGGGGTGTGTCAAAGAAGAATCCCGCGGCGGATCTTAGGGCTAACTGCTCATTGGAGGTATACGATTGCGACTCGACGGCGTGTGCTTGCTAGGTAGGATACTAAGCGCCCCGGACAAAGAACTGTGGGTTTGGCGTGCGTTCGAGAAGGCGATAGACGGCGGGTCCTGTCGATCGGGAAAGGTACGCTGCAGGGGACGATGGTAGCTAGGAATGGAGAGATGACCTTGAACCAGACGGACTGGACTGCCTTTGACGAATTCAACTTGAATTTATTAGCAGGCGGTTTGTAGACCAGGGACGTGAATTGTAGAAAAAGTAAGTAAAGCTGCACGGGAAGAGATCTGGAGAAGCGACTGCGGAAGAAGAAAACATGACGAGCCCCGCGTACTCATTGCGGCTCTCGGAGTTTTTTTTGCATCTTTGATAGGAGGTAGAGGCCTGCCTACCGTCTATCTCTGATTGCAGAGATTGCAGATCGCCTTAATGATGAAGCAGTCGGACACTTGATAGAGGACGGAGAAGACGGACAATAAGACAAACAATGGCAATGGACCCGAGTGGAAGAGCGGATAGGAAGGCGAGGAGCGAGAGGGAGACACTCACGGGCAACCAACAGGTGGACGGGCGATGGGCGGTATTGAGCTTCAATCGCTGCAGAATCCAAATTCCAAGCTGCCCTCGTCCAAAAGGTCGAGGAGGGATGATAGCTTTATCAAGTATCATGATATTTTCTACTCAAAGTCCACTGCGCCGCGTTTTTGCCTGGCCCCTTTGGCATTGCCCAATGAAGAACCCTGGCGAACATGCGGCAGAACGAGGTGCTCTGCAGAGTCCTGACAGTCTCGATTTACCAAATTAGCTTGACGGCGAATACCACTCTCGCCACGAGTTTGCTGTTGAGTTCGGACCATGTCAGGGCCGTTGGAACGTTCGGGAGAGCGACAGGACGACTGCATTATCTTGAGGTTCCTTCTCCCATCACTACAAGGCATAACGAGCTTGAACGGTCTACCCATTGAATACGTGCTTTTCTTCGTGGCTTCTTGGGCTTCCCACTGTCCCTTGACCACCGGTCCTTGTAGAACATCTTCTTGTTTTCAGGTAAACCGAAAAACAAAAGCTCAGTGCAAAGTCTGTTGCAGCAACTGAACAGATGCTTAAACGTCTTGGACCCTGTCAGAAACGATGGAGACGCACAGCATTGGTCAAAACCCATGTTACATCTTATGACCCAACTCAGAGCTGCAGACATTTGAATGGCCCTAAATGGAATGAACTTTATTGTTGGCATAGCGGGAAGAGATACGGAGACGTGCACCATAAGTTTCCGCGTGTGGCTGTTCCAGGTCACGTGACCTGTAGCCAATGACGAGCTACGCTCAAAACCACCGGATGGCCTGATTGGCTACAGGTCACGTGACTTTTGTGTCACCTATGCGGAAACTTTTGGTGCACGTCTCCGTAATCGCGCTGTATAGAACATTTCGGTCAGGTCAGCTGTCCTAGCGTGAGCGGCGGCAAACGGCAGAGTGCATCAGAGACAAATTACCGGTAAGATGATGCTAGAAGAAATTAGTGGCGGCGATCGTCACCCCCGGTAACCTTGTGCAGACCCCAGTCGCCTGACAGAGGTTGGGGGCACCTCTGAGCTTGGGCAGTTGCAGATAGCCAATGGTTTGCTCCTCCGTGGGCGAACGGCTTTGTCGAGCACTAGACAGGGGTCTAATGAAGACTGTTGTTCTAGACGGGCGGAGCAAGGTCCCTTGATGATCTGCTCCCAAACATCACTTTCAGTTTTCTTGATCCTTCCGCAGTTCTCTCTGGTGTTCGAGGCACGAGAAGCAGTCGTACTTGCATGAGTGAGAGGTTAGGCGCTCGAGCGTTTGGATCAAGCGACGGGACTTTTCTCCCTTCCCTACCTCGAGGAAGGCCTTTTTGTCCCCTTACTGAGCATGGAAAGGGAGTTAGCATCAGATGCGTGATGCACCCTGCCCAAAATACCGCTAGCGGGATGTTGCTATTTTGGAAGACGTGCCGGGGATTTCTGGCAAGATTTCAAAAGGCTCGAGAACAATGGTCATTTTCCGAATAGTCACACTCAAATGCTCCAGTAGGCACGACGGGTGTGGGGATGTGCCGTACGTAGTCCATAGCAAAGCTTCCAGAATAATTGGCTCGCCCTATCGGCAAGACAGCACACGTCGACGCAGGCTGAGAAGGACTAGTCCAGTTTCTTGTTCTGAAACTGACACTTTTCGTCCATCTCCGGTGGAGCTAACCGTCAATTGAATTCTCACCCTAATTTGCTTCCTTTGTCTCTTTTTTCTCCCTGTCGGTTGAAAGAGGTGTGGCTGAGATGATCACCCAAACTTGCAGGAAGCTAGTTGGTTCGAAAGTGAGATTTGAGAAAAAAAGGAGCCGACCCCGGTCATTGGCAGAGTCCAGGCCGGTTCGGAAATGCGAGAGTGGGAACCTGGGCGTAAGAGGCGATCCCTAGTGGATGGTGATGTCGTGCAGGAGGTTTCCACGGGCTGCAGCGCAAATCCATTCGTAACCTTGAACAAGGGGGGTGGTGGGGAGGGGGGAAGGTTGCATTCTGTTGCTTATCGGATTGCGGTAGTCGGACGGCGTTTTCCGAGTCGCTTCCGATCAGCAAAGCAAGAGAGGATGGTAAAGCAGAGAGACAGAAGAAGTAGAAGAGATGGAGGCTGAGTCTGATTGATCGATGATCGACTGAGGCCTGAGTGTTCCGCTAACGCTCCAGACAAACAGCGCTAGGCCAGAACAGGCGGGGAGGGCACGTGCTCTGGTCGCACTAGAAGGGCAGGTGCAGCCCTAGCGGCCTCGCCTGGCAACCAGCTTCAGGAACAGAGTCACCTCAACGCTCAGAAGTGTCACTCCTCGAGTTAGTACCTGCTTCAACTCTATTCACTCGCACTCTATTCGGCCGCGCTCTCTGGAACCCTGGGCAGATCTGTCTCTTCCCAATGGCTCGACAAATCACCACCCCGGTTGTGTCATGGGTCTGCTGTAACCGGTTTCTGCCTCAATGCCTTCGCCCTGGTTCTTGCATCCGCTATATTTACACAAAGTTTGCGGCGTCTCAGTCACTCTGTCTCTCTTTCGCCCTTCTCGTACTCTTCTTATCCTGGAGACTTAGGACTTTGGCTCTCGCCCCCGACGCCTTTCTTGGCTGGAGACTACTCGAAATGCCATTTCTGAACTCATAGACGTTCTAGGTGAGAGCTGCGCCTCTTATTCTGCCGAAAGTCCCAGAATAAGAGCCAATCCGAGCTCATGCTTCTAGTGTGCTTCCCGATCCTTTCCGCTGTATAGCACGGTCATTATAAGTTGGAATGATGCAAGAAATTGGAGGTTTATAGTGCATCCGGAATGCAGTTCGCCGTTACGATCGTCTTGAAACACCCGGGCGTATGTTGGTTGGCTCCTACGGCACTCATGTCAGTCAACGGGCTTGACTTCTCTGAGTCCAGAACATTCGACCGTTGGTTCCAGGATCCCTTGAACTCTACGCGTTTCGACGATCTGTAAAGGTCTCAGTTCCAAGACATCATTCCCCAGCCGCGGCATGCTATCTTCAGGGTTTGAAAATAGTACTTCAGACTGAGGCTTACCGCGAATTGATCGTCACAGAACTATATGTGTGTCGTTGTGAGCATGGACCTCGTTGGGGATGCACCATTTTGTTCACCCTACGATGTGCGCATTTTACTCGGTGCTCTAGCCCCTAGACGTGAAGGCGGCAGGATGGATTTCTAGGGACATCTATACCTGAGTGGAGACCGGAGGTTTGATCCGTTACATCTCTATATGCTAATGTGCGAATGTTCTACCTAGGCAGTGGATCTAGTACGCCGGGCTCCTACGTTAAGATACTTTCGGAGATTAATCAAGATGTACCTCACTCTTGGTACGTGAACTACCGCCCAAGGCTGACTTTCACGTTCTTCTAAGCTCCTTTCGTATTCCAAGATGTCTCCGGCGTCGTGTCCCGGCATTGGCCTTTTACCGGTCCATGTGCTCAGCAGATATCCTGCGCAGTTATCGTGGATGCCGCATGATGAGCCGGGATTTGATCAATCCGCGTGGCTACGCCTGACGCCCACCGCATATTTCTCCCTGTTCAGGCTAGCTGTACTACTCTGAAAGCGGCCAATTGTTGCTGGCCAGTTACCCTGCGCTGTCTGCTATTTCATGAAGCCGAGGGTCGACCGACGTCCGAAAACTCCTTGAAATTCGTACGCACCAAGATATCCTTGGGGTGAGCGCGGAATACCAAGATCTGGCTACGCGAAAGAAATCGATTGTAGGCAAGTGTCTTGTTTTGAAACGCACTATCGCTGAGAAAATTCAAGTCAGCACTTTGCCTTCAAGAAAAGGATGATATGCATCTGGATACTGCGCGAGGCAGGTCGACGTGGTGCCATAGAAGCGGAATATCAACCACGGAATGGTTGGGACAAGGTCCGGGCTTATTCTCAAAAGGATGGTGGGTGTGCAGCCTCTATCTTGATCGCCGTGATGCGCACCGCCGTCAACATTGCCTCCTCTCGACTCAGCACGGCCATGGAATTCTAATAACCTATTGCCTCGGTCCAAATTTTACTTCTCTAAGAAGAAGTCAAACTTTGTTCAGCAGATTTTGCTGATTGGGAATCAGATGGAGTCACACAGAAGAGAAACACAGCAAATCAAGGCGCCAGCTGCAGAAATGCTGACCCTTCTATCTTCCCGTTTTGGACCCAGGACGAGATAACCGCCCTCCATGACATAATGGCGCTCCTGAAATCCTCGTCATTGCCTGCTGTTGTCCACACAGCGTCAGAGAATTCTATGCAATGTAACCGGAGCCTCTAGGTGCCGACGGCGCCTTCGTGATCCCTTTCACCGGCAGTTATGCCTTTTTACTGGTCGTTAACTCGTCAGGACTTCGGGGAAGGGGAAGGTAGGCCGCCGGAACCAATCTAGTGTCTATTCACGGGGAAGACGGCTGCTTTCGTGTTACCCCCATCCGAAGCAACAATACTACATGGGCCGTGCGTCTGTTTTGCTTTCAGTGGGCAAGACCGTTTTTGTGGTCAGGGCTAGCCGGAGTCCAAGAGCTGCTTAGTATCTGGACTGATGAGCTGCCAGTCCTGGAAGGGACGAAGCAAGTGGCGCAGGGCGATTATCGGGCAATTTTGAGTCGGAAGGTTGGCAGGCGCGTTCAGAGAACAAGACTGGTCGTTGGGAAGACCAGAACTGCCGACGGTAGGCTTACTCCAGTCTGCCTACAGTGATGACTCTTCCAAGTCCCGAGTGCCGATTGCTCAGGTGGCCAGTGTGCACATGCAGCTGCGAGTAATTTGCATCAGGACTAGCACATGTCTCATGCGCTGGGAGCTATACTTACCTCTCTCGCTGCAGAAGGTATCATAGCCCGAGTGCTAGGCAATCGGTACTCGGTATGGTGCCTACCTTGAGAAATTTAACGTCTGCAGATTACTACCCTATCTCACCAACTGCGCCATTCAGTTGATGATCTTCATAAAACAATCAGAAGCCTGATGTCCTTCTGACTCCTTGCCCCTGACTCCTGCCCGCTGTCTTGCACAGGGTACAACAGGCTATTAACGGCTTGGGTTGTACAAGCGACTCCTAGAATATCCCTACGAGATTGGGTTTGGATACATCGAGCACAACCGTTCTCCTTTTCAACGGCGAATACACAGCAGACAGGGGATAGCCTTGGGAGAGGGGAAAGCTCGGGGGTGATGTGGATGCTTGTCTCTTGCCGAATACCGAACGTTACTAGGGAAGTATGTGCTTTCGACCAGGGAGGCGATATAGCCTCCAATCTGACCTCGCAGTCTCTTATTCCCACATTAACCCTTGGAGTAGCACATGCTGCTACGACTTGAGATGGATTCAATAGGTAAACTCCATAGCCAAGGAACGCCATAGATTCTTCATCGTATTACTTCATTATCAACGGATCATGACACTTTTATTTGAGAAGAAGGGAACTCGTGAGGCAAGAGTATGGTATGGAGTCATGCAATTCGCCTAGACAGACAGGCCGAACTAGACCGGCTGGCTGAAACAGCGTCGTAAATCCCGGTTGAAGCAAAGAAATAAACCCCAAAGAATAGTATGAATTGTATGATACGGCGAAGGAAATGGAAGAAGGAGAATCTAAGTGGCCCTCTTGGCGAATTCGACGCGCAGAATGAGGTGGCGATAACCGACTGAGGGAAGAAAAACAAGTCAGCGTCGGAGCTTATTTCGAGAAAGATGGTAATAAGGGGGAAGATGAGCATGAATGGGAAGATCGGGGCAGGGGCAAGAAACGTACATCCGTCCATCTTGTCGCAGGCACGTGCGGCGTCGCTCCGGTCCGCAAAGCTGATGAAGGCAAAGCCCTTGGCCCTCTGGGTTTCCCTGTCCCTGGCCAGGAAGACTCTGGTGACACGACCGAAGCGCTCGAACAGATCCCGGAGTTCTTGTTCCTCCGCGAGTTCGGAAACCTGAAGCGAGAGCTCACCGTTAGCAAAAAGTTCCCAAGCCCTCGCACAAGCAAAAAAACACGAGAATTGGACGAAAAGGAAAGGAAAAGCAAGACAACATACGTTCGTAACTCTGAGAGTCGCCAGGTCATCCTTCTCGTACTTGCCAGCCATCCGCTCACCACCACCAGCAGCGCCCTTCCGCAGATGAGGCGGCACATAGCTACCACCACCCGCACCAAGACCACCCGCCGCATCCTCCTCGCCCCCAGCACCGCCCTCACCAGCCGCAGCACCACCCTCATCCACAGGCGCCATGGTATCCTTAAACGGACAGCGGGCAGTAAAGTGCTCGCCCGAACAAATCCGACACTTGACCTTCTTATCCTTAAGCTGGTCCTTGATGCTCCCCTTCTCGCCGCCGTTCTTCTCCGCCTCGGCAGCCTGCGCCTTCCAGTTAACCGAGGGTCTGAAGACGATGTTCTCGCCGACGGAGGTCGTGTCGAAGGAGGGCCCCGCGGCGTGGCCCTTCTCGAGCCCAAATTTATCCCATGTCTTGCGCTCCGCGACCTGCGGGTTCACGTGCTCGCGGACGACGGTTGTTTTGATGCGGCGGGTGACTTTGACTTTCTTGCCTTCGTCGTTGAAGCGGTATGAGATTACGGTCTTTGTGCCGTCTTTGTTGGTTGTGATTTGTTGGGCGGGGAGGGCAGAGGGGTCGTCGAATTCTTCGTCGTCGGCCCAGTCGGCCCTGTGCACGCAAAGTTAGATTTTTTAGACTCTCGTAAAAATAGGCAGCTTCGGCAGATATTCATGTAGAGGTCGTAAGTAGGTACGTACTTTGCTGGTCGAGACATTGTGGCTGTTTGTGTTGTTGGGTTCGTGTTTGAAAGATTCTGGATTTCTGAAAGCTGATTCTCCGTTGTGGATTTGTTCGCCGGGTGTGCTGTGGCGTCTGTGGCGGTGCGGATGATGGATCACGTGATATACCCGGGGTATACAGTGCTCTTCAACGCCGCAAGAAGATGGGAACTGGACGTCAAAAACACCTGTGAACCTGGAATGGGAAAGGAGTACCGGCTAAAAGTACGTATCGTTAGCGTAAGTGGTAAGTCACCAGTGGGAAAGGAGCAATACACGGTTAGACCTAGCGAGACAAGTGCAAAGTATACATGTCGTCTCGTTCTAAATTGGTTGAGTTGATGAAATTTCTATTTTGCGTGCCATGGAGAAAGGACGTATCTTGAGATTTTTCCTTGTCCATGTTTTCGATCTATGGTGGAACAATGTTATTGCATGACGTTGATTATGATATCTATCTATAAATCTATATATACATCCCTTAAACGACCCAACCCAAAGAACAATGATCAAAAAGCACGTTACCTCCCAAAAAGCTTGATCTCAAGAGGTCTCAAACAGAGATACGAAAATGCTGAAAATGCAAAGCCCAATTCAAATCCTATATCGCCGCCACCTGCGTGCTTTGCGATTGGACCCTCAAACCATGGTTGGCTCATTCCAACGACCATGCCAGCAACACCAAACGCAAATGCAAGAGTGGCGGCAATACCAACTGGAAGTTTGTTGGGCTTGTCGTAGTTCTCAATGACATAGCCGGAGAAGCCGCGCTTGAATACGCAATGATCCGTGATTGCGATCGCAGAGTAAATAGCCAGCCAATACGCGATGAAGTTCATAAAGTTCTCCAGTATGGTTTCGAAGTGGGAGTAACCCGGAATTGCAATAGCTAATGAGACACCGGTGCCGAGGACGGTCCAGATGAAGCGAGGGACGCGTTGCGCGTAGCGACTGAGGACTTGGACGGTGAGGGCGACGGAATAAAGGTTCGGGCAGTTGTTTGCAACAATCGAGAGGGCGAGGATGACGAGGCAGAAGTCGCCAAAGCCTCCAAGTGGTTCGAGAACAGCGGCGATGAGGCCACCATTTCCGGACGCACTATAGCCCAAGGCGTATTTGCTGTCTTTGATCTCGGTCGCGGTCATCACGGCAACGCCGAGCATTTCGACAAAGAGAAGAGGGATGATCAGTCCAAGCCAAGTCGAGAAGAAGATCTTGCGCTTGCTGCGGTTGGCAGGCTGGTACACGGTGTAATCAGCCGCGTAGCTGGTCCAGCCCGTGGCGTAGCCGTAGACGGCCGAGCCAAAGGACAGAACGCTGCCCATCTCAGACGTTCCCGCCTTCATGGGAATGTTTATGAAATCCCCAGAGTGCGCGAAAGTGCCCAAGACGATCAGGAATACGATGAAAGTTGGAATCCAACTCCAGTATTCGTACAGATGAACCACTTTATAGCCCGCGAACGTGATTAAAAGCGTGCAGATGGCAATAATCAGGATAGCAGCCCAGCCAGGTACATCGTTATTGACTGCATGGAGCAGTTGAGCGCCTACAATGGTGTTGGCGGCAGACCAACCCATGCATGCGAGGATATTCAGGACAGCAACTGCAGGAGAGAATAATGAATGAGTCCCCGCCGCACGGTAACAACTGTGGTGGGCTTGGGATACTCACATCCTTTAGTGGCGTACCAACCGAACCAGAACCTTGAGAACACCATCTGACGCAGCCCGAACGGACCGAAGCAGGAAAAGAAGCAGACAGTCATGATACCAAGAAGGTTGAAGAACAGGACGGTCAGGATGGCGTCGACGAAGCCAAGGCCATAGATAGATTTTCCAAGCACACCAATGGCAAAGGAACTGACAACCATGTTGGCCGCCAGCCACATGCTGCCTATATTGAAAACGGAAGTATCCGTCTGTTCCGCAGCGGGAACGCGTTCAATGCCACGCTGTTCGATGTTGAGCTTTCCGGCCAGACGCTGGATCTTCGCATATAAGGAGTTGCCATAGGTGAAGCTCTCGCCTGGCACGGCGCCGTCACTGCTGTTATCCGCGACTGACTGGGCCACTGGAGGGTTCTTCTCCAGGTCGAAATCGTGTGCTCCAGCCATTGTGGAAGAGAGACTGTTGTTGACAGGATATGTCGTTCGATCAAGGTATAATCATGAAACGAGACAATAGATTCTGTTGAAAGGGAAGCAACGCCCCTTTGGCTGGGTTGAGGTTCACATTTTTTTTTTCTTTCTTTCCTCTGTGACGGGGGATGAGCTCTGAATATGTAGGTGGACCTGAGGAGATAATTCTTCACACACAAAACGCGCACAATCAGTTATTATTATCATCCGGCCCACCCGGGGACCAGCCCTCACGATGAAAAGTGGTCATTTTCGGAAAAGACGGCGGCGATATCTCTGGTATGGATACGGCGCGACCAAGAAGAGATTGTCGCGTGGGTATTTCTGGGTCTCGAAACACGCGACTGTCAAGCGAGTCAAGCTTCCGGGGGCCACAAACCAATCGTTGGGCGCGTGAAACCGTGAAAACGGGCGGATAACCGCGGATTGAGCTGCCGAGTGGAACCAGGGCGACGACTGACGAGGCGCAGATAAGAAATCTGCTGATGATAGGCACTTGCCACTTGATAAGCAACGAAGATACCAAAATATCGTTCACGATGACAGCTGCATTCTAGAAGTCGGCAATGTCCGTTGACGTTGGAATCCGCGATCCTTCGTTCGTCGGGCGCCCCTTTCTCGCAGCTGCCCCCAGACTTTCGGAGCTTGGCTACGACCGCAGCACCGCTAGGCAACTTGGCTTTTTTGTCCCCACCTAGAGATAAGAAGCGGGTTAGTGGCGATAAAATATATTATTCCGGAGTACGGGCAAGAACACTCACCTGCCCCTGAGCAGGCGGGGAAACAGGTCGCGCGGGGATTCATCCATAGGCGAAACTTGGAAGTCCCGGGTGATGGTGCTGTGCAAAGAGGATCGTTTTAGTAAAAAAGGAAGTCAAAATGAAGGGTGATTTGAAGAAAGACTTGGTCTTGGAAAGTGATTTGGTGGGAGTGAGGAGAGAGATGGCAGAAAGAGTATGATGAGGGCGACACATGACCTGTATCTGTACCTTCCCTGGCTGCTCCAGGATCTACCTGCAGGCTCCTCACCCTCATCGGTCTGGACTTCAATCTACGTCCGACATGGATTGTTCAGGTCCGGCCAAACACAGACCTGGCTGGCTTCCTTTGCTGCTTTAGCAACAGATGATCCATGGTCACTTGCCTCTATAAAGCTCGCTCAGTCTATACAAGGTCTGCCTATACAGGTCACCCGCTCTTTACCCATTCCAAGCCAAACGTACTGATACCACCTCTCGAACAGGATCCTATCCTTCAACAAGACAAATGGCAAGAACACAAAAGGATGGATGACAAGGAAAACCCACGCCTGCTCAAAATAAGACACGGCGACGAAAAAGCTTGCGTGAACCTCACTGAGTGGCTGGACCGTGTCAAGCGATCACCGAAATTCGTCTTCAGCCAGCTTTATGAGCAGCAGGAATCATACGTGGATGTGATCCGCTCCCTGCAGTCTAAGTTGTCAGAGTACAAGTCACGTATCAGTTATTTGGAACACAATCCGAACAAGACCCATATCTCTCAGCTGGAGAACAAGTTGGCTAAGAGGGAAGAGCGACTACAGATGTTCAGGATGCGCAACACGGAAATGAATAACAGACTTGCAAGTCAGAATCAGGAGCAGGAAGCATACAAGGATCAGATTACGGCGCTCAAGGCCAAGCTATCTGTGCTGGAAGAGCGGACACGAGAGTACAGTACACGCATCGCAAGACTGAACGCCGAGCTCGCAGCTCATGAGCAGGAACACAAGTTGGACCAACAGCTGATCATGGAATGGGAGTCACGCGCCGAGAAGTACGAGAGCATAATAGCCGAGCTGGAAGTCCAGAAGGAGACAGTTCGAAAGCAGAGTACACGCATCGTCGAATTGCTCAACGCATTGGCAACTGCAACGCAACAGCAGGATAAGCAAGTTGCAGACTTGAATGACCAACTAAAAATCGAGAGACAGCAGCATAATGCATACACGGGTCGATTCGTGGCACTGAGTGCCCAACTAGAAGGAGAGAAAATGGAGCATGAGACATCCAGAGGCCAAATTGCAGAATTGAGTGATAGATTGGACGCACAGACTCAACAGCAAGAAGCATACAAGGATCGAATAGCGGAGCTGGAGAATAAACTAACAGCGCAGACCACACTCCACGACGGAAACACATCAGAAGGCACATATTTTTCGTTCACGGAGACAACGCAAACCAAAGCTCTGCCTGACCCACCGCTGCTCAACGATAAAGATTACCCTTCTGTAGCGAATTGGAAATACCTCATGGAAATGAAGTTCCGCGAAAATGCTGACCACTTCGATTCACCAGCCGCTCGCCTAGCATACCTCATCAGCCGCACGACCAGTGAAGTTCAAGACCAGCTGGTAGACCGGCTACGGAGTAAGGTCCTGGAGCCGATAACTGACGTTCGTGATGCCCTCGAGTTCCTGGAAATGGTCTATCACCGGCCGGAGCTGGGCACCACGGATGTTGAAGATTTCCGCATGCCCGACGAGAACCTGGGCAGCTTCTGGGAATATTTCAAGGCATTCATCTGGAACGCAGTCAGAAATGAACTTCCCGAAACAGAATGGCCCCGAAAGCTTCACGAATTCCTGCGACTGAGAGTGATAAACAACGTTGACTTTTTCTTTACTTATCCGGAAAGCTCACCCAAGGATCTTGCCAAGGAAGTCTACCTGCGCCTACTGCGGCAAGGCCAGCACGATGAGATTGTTCTTGGTGATGGCTTAGAACAGCACTTCGACACTGGTATACAAGACTCTTCAACCCAGGACGCCGACATCAGTATTGATGACTCTCTCAGGGGAAACTACTCAGAAGACGAGGGGGGTTGTTTAGACCGACCAAGACCGGATTCAGTCGTTGAATCGGCATGCTCGATCGTCGACATTGTTCAGGCTCGAGGCGTCAAATGGTCTTGAGGGTCATCGGTGGTTCCTTAAGAAAGTGAGACGCAGATGTACTGGACGGTAACTAGTGGGATGAGCAGCGGGTTCGTGTTTTGCGGAGAGCTAATATAGCAGTCGATGTCCTTGTATACTTACGGTATACTCTCACTCTCAGGATGCTGCAGTACAGCACCTACGATGTAGGTGGCGGTGATGTTTGTATACCGAGGTCTTGTCGAGACTCCTCCCCAAGGTCCTTTACGCTCTCCACAGGTCTTGTTTGCTGACTTATCCAGCTTGTATACACTAACGATATCCTTCACTGGCGTCAGGCTACATACTTTTTGAATTATATTATCGCTTATATTCCACTCAGAGGTTACAAGCGCAGATGTGCATCCACTTCACAATTTCCCAGACGTTTAAAAGATAGGTAATCTCAACGCATAAACCCAAAACAGTCCTAAATAATATATGGCTCCAAATCCCCACAATCCTCCTCAACATCAAACCTCTCCACCTTATAATCCAGCTGCCCGACACCCCGATCCGCCGGTACATCTACGATATCATCCGACCTCACCCACCCGCCGAAATCCTTCTCGTTGGAGATATAGAACCCAACTGGCATGGACACAGCGCCTTCGACGCCGCGGACGGCCTCGCACTGCGGGATCCACGCCGTGCCCTCGACTTGGAAACCGCCTTCGTTGTGCGTGGCGTCAGAATTCGAGGCTGAGGCGGAGGCTGGGTTCGAAGTCGACGGGCCCTCGCCTAGAAGCACGCGCGACGAGCGGATTTGCGAGCCGATAAGGACGTGCATTTGACCGTTGGCTTGTTCTTTTTCTCCGTTGCCTGGCTCTGAGGGCTTAGAGGAGGAGGAGGGCGGGAAAAAGCGCACTTCCCTTGTCTTTGCGGTCTCGGGGAGGAAGATGCGCTCCCTAGGGACGAGGACCGACTCCCGGTTTTCTGATTCAAGTTCGCCATGCGGTGGGAACAGTCTGATTCTGAAAACGGCGAGCCTTTTCGCGCTCATTGTGAAATATAATTCCGTGGGCGTCCAGGTAAGCGTGAAGGGGAGCTGAGAGACTGGTAGAGAGTGGAAGTGGCCCAGCTCGATCTTCGTCCTGTAGATTTGCGTTGGAGGGGCGCGGGTCGTCTTGCGCGATGAGAGTCTATGTGTGGTGACGAACAGGGAAAGGTCGAGGGGGATCAGATTTGTCTTGGAGACTGAACCTGTTCTTTTGTGTTTCTTCTCCGGTAGGGGTTTCCTTCGAACTTCAAGGATAGCGATGTGGAGGTGTTTGCCGCATGGTGAGAAGTGGCATTTTGTGACTATCTGGCGCGCTATTGAAATGTTAGTATGCCCAAAGACTTTGGGGAGATAGATAGGTGTATATGAACTTACTATATGTGGTCGTCGGTCTCAGCTTCCTCTTAAACCAGCTTTTCTTCTCGAAATCCGCGAACAGCACGTTTCCAGGACTCAGTGGCCAGATAATGAGAGGTTTGTGAGGATGCAAAACTGGAGGCGAATCATAGAGTAGCAGGTCTATTGGCCTTGATAGTTGAAATATGCATGTTAGTCCTGTGCTAGACATGCCGAAGACTTTGAGTGAAGCCTCGAGGCCCGACTTGGTTCGTTTGCGGAAGTGCGCTCGAGAGCGCGGATACACGTCGTCATCGGAACCACCGTCAGAATCGTCGAGGGGGACGTAGGCATCGTCTCCATCAGAGTCATCGTCCAAGAAGCCGCGGAGGAAGCGAGAATGAGGCGTTGCTCCTAGTCCACCGGAGTCAGAGCCTGCCTCGGACTCATAATCGTCACTGTCCGAGGGTTCGCTGTCAGAGTTAGAGCTGCTGGAGCTGTCTATGTATCCTTTGAAGAATACGATGGCATTCTCATCGCCAATTGCTTCTTCAACGTCAGTTGAACCTTCACTCCAGGTCTCATCGCCGGAGCTCCAGTCAATTCCAGTTTTAGCTGAGGATAGAGAAGTGTCACTTTCCTCTGAGGCAGACGAAGTTTCATCAGTGTCGTCTACCTCTGAATCGTTGCTATTGTTCGCTCTTTCCTCTTCCCACATCTTATTGAAGAGTTTCCCTACATCGAGGACTGGATTGTCAGTCAAGCTATCAAGGCGCTCCTCGCCGGGGATAGGCGCCCTTCTCCGGCTTGCTGTCACCAGGTATTCGCCTTGGGTCAGGAACTCCTCGAAATATGCCGGGAACGCGGGTTTCTGATCATGGCTAATATGCAATACCTGAAAGAGGCCGTTCTCATCTCTCGTGTACAACTGAGAGCCAATACGAAGACCATGAGCATCATAATCAAACGCGATTGGTTTTGCTCTGCCAGATCTTCCAGTACTATGCGAGTCTCCGTCTTTGACGAATAGGTTCCAGTTTGCATCTTCCTCGTTGACTTCGAGTGTTTGTCTCTGTTGCAGTTTAGGCTTTCCACCCAAAGCCAGGTTCCAAGTCTCGCAAATAAAGTAAAGAATTGGTGCAACGCGACGCCTGAAAGTGTTAGGTTCTGGATTAGGTGGACCTTTAGGGCTGGTACTCACTGGAACTGGACTAGATAGACAACTCGGCCGCACGCCGAATACCCTTCGTAGCAAGTTTGAATGGTACGTATGCCATCATGATCACCAGTGCAGAGAGAAAAACCAGTGTATCTACTCTTCATGCTCGACATAAAATTGTTGGTTCCCAAGGTCCCAAAAATGCAACGATCGATCTGGCCTGCGTATCTCGCCATCGAGCAGGAAGGATTATCGCAGCATCCACAGGCCAAAAGATAAGCCCACTCATGAAGGAACACCCGGTAATCTTGGGAGAAATGCATACTAGGGTCCCGCAAAGCCATCCTCACAAACCAATGAGGAAGAGCTCTCTTGAAAAACTTTGATGTGCTTGGCTTTCCTCTAAGGGTGAAAACGCCAAACTGCGCATCCACAAGGAGGTGCTGGACCTGGAGTAGCGTCTGGAAATTTGAAGACCACAAGAATGTCGATATCTTCTCCGCAAGGCTGGGAGACGGCAAAACGTCCTCTAGGTGTAGGTGCCAATACTTGGCTGTATACCTAAGGAATGCATCTTTATCTGGTGAATCCCCACCTGATGTCCTCCAAACGCCATTAACCCTTTCTAAGAGGCTGCTATATTTGGGTTGTGATAGATATTGAAGACATGCATCAGCCAGGATGGAGGGGCCAATGTAAGCATTTTCAACATCTCCGTCACCTTCGTTCAGAACGTTGGGGTTGTTTCTGACAAACTCCTTCACCGTGGAATGAAATAACCGATAACGCTTTTCGGTATCAGAAGGCACTTTTTCTTCCACTATCAGCGGCGAGAGAAGGTTCTGTATGAGTTTTGAACGCGGTCTCCTCCGTTCCATATCGTTCTTTGACTGGGCCGCGGGGTTTCGAATAACCCCGATGGCATCGCTTAGCTCACTCGCGGACACTAAGCGCCGGGAAAAGCATACAATCGAGAAGATCTTGCTGTTGTTCAGTCAGCACCGATGTTCGACATCGCATTGGCAGGATAGAACTCACCTTGCCAAGTTTCGATGTGCCGCCGGAATACGTTTGAAATGGCGACAGTAGTACTCGTTGATATCCCTGGGGAGAGAATGCTCAATGAGATCCTCAATATCTGCAATACATTCGGCCTTTTCGCTGATACTGTGTATCATATAGTGAGCCCAAAGAAAGTTCCCTCCCGCTTTCTCTCTCAACAGCTCGAACCAGTGCTCTCTTTCCTCCGTGGCAGTATCAATATCCTTTATATTTGTATTGTAACTACAACAGCCTGGTTTTATTTATCCTTTAATTAGTTGGTGAGCCCTACTAGCGCCGGGTATTATAAGTATTAGTAGGTATTACTTTTGTACCCTATAACTTTTTATTTACCCCAGCCATTATACTTTAGGGACTATGTTTTTTATATATAGTACTTACTTATAGTTTTAGTAATTTTTTTTATAATTTTTATAATTACCCTTTTTTTACTTTTATAACTATAAATATTTTTTTATATATTTATTATTTTAGGGGGCTTAGTTTATATAGGTTAAGGGTGCTATAGGTAATATTTTTATATAAACTAGGCTTATAAATTTACTTATTACTAAATAAATTTTAATTTAAAAAAGTTTTAATTTTTAGGCCCTAGTATACTAGCCCTTATTTAAGTACTTTATTAACTTTTTTATTATTTTTATTATTTTTTTAAGCCTTTTATTAAGCTTTTTTTAAGTGCTTTTTTTAATTTTATTAAACTTTTTTTTTATTTTAAATTATAATATAAGTAACTTCCTTTATATACATGCCTTTAGCTTATTAATTTTTTTTTATATATACTACTATATTACCCTTTAAATACTATTATTTTATTTTATTATATATTTTTTATATATTTAAGTTAGTAGTTTAATACTAATTTAAGCTAGGTTTATTATAGGTTATACTTTTAAGACTTTAAAATTTATAAGTATTATTAATATTATTACTATTAATATTATTATAGGGTTTAATAATAATATATTATTTATAATATATACTTTTAACCGCCTGTTAATATATATATATATATATATATAAATAAGGCATGCTATAATAGTATATATACCTATTATAAATACTTTAATTTTTATTTTTTACTTTTTATACCATGTAATAATTTTACCTGCTTTATTTTTATTTTATTTACTTAATAATTTTTAAGTTATTATTTTTTAACATGCCTTGGCCTTAACTTTTTATTAATACTTTATTTTATAATATTATACCTTTAATTTATTTTATTATGCCTGTGTGTGGGTTAACCCTTTTTAAATATTTTTAATATAAAATAGTTAAATTTTTTTTATACTTTTTTATTATTTACCTTATATATTTTATAAATAGCCTTAAGTGTTTATAAGTATAATAAATAATTAGTATATAAATAAAAGTTTAGGTTAAGGTAACTAGTATATTTATATATATTTTAAAATAAATTATTTAGGTTTATAAAATTTATATTATATTATTTAATAAATAAATTATCCAGGCTTTTATATTAGGTCCTGCGGTTTATATTTTTAGCTTTAGTAAGTTTTATAATAAATAATAATAATAGGTTTTATAGATATAAGAAGGTGGGTTATATAAGTATAAAATTAATATTTTTTATATTATATATTTTATTTTTTTTAGTATTTTTTTATATTAATTATTATAATTAGCTGCTCCTGGTCTTTTACCTTATTTAATATAATTTTATTATTTATTTTATTTTTAGGTATAGCTTTATTCCCTATTTATAATACTTTTTACTTTATAAATTTAGCTATTTTACTATGCCTTTTTATACTTTATTTAGTGTTTTATTTTTATTTATTTTTTTTATACTTTTAATTACTAGTATTATAGGCTATTTTTTTACTTTTTTATTTTTTTACAAGTCTTGTAAATTACTAACCCTTAAAAAAGGCTAAATATATTATAATAATAGCTATAACCCTAGGAGCTATAAGTACCTTATTTATATAATTAATTTTACTTTTATATATTCTTGCTTAGCATATTTAATTTATTACTAATAATTTTTATTAGCCTTTTTTAGCCCTAAATACTATTTTAAATATAATTATTATTTTTTTAATTTACTAGCCTATACCTCCTATATTTACTTTATTTTTATTTTTTTTTTATTATTACTAACCTTAATATTAAGCCCCCTAATACCAGGTCCTTTAGGTGTAATTATTTTTAAGCTAACCTAGTTTATACTAGTATTTATACTATATAATAACCTTTTTTTTATTTTTTATAATTAATTACGCCTAGCTAATTAACTAGGTATTATAAAGTACCCTTATTAAGCCTAGTATAATTATTAAATAATTAATAGTTATTATACCTGTTATAAGTTATACTAAAAATATAACTAGCTTTAGGTAGTTATTACCTGGAAGTATTTTACTTATAAAAAGGTTTTAAATTTAGCTAATTTATTAAATAAATATATTTTTTATTAAAAGCTTTTACTAAATATGCTAGCGCGGGCTTTAAAAAATATTTTAGCTATAATTATTAGTTTTTTTAAGTATAATACTTAAATATTATTAATTTTAAGTTATATAAAGGTTACTTGCCCAAGCTATTATTTTTTATTTATAAAAAAAAAGATTACATGGTGTTTAGGTGCTTTTTTTAATTATATTAATAAGTATTATAATTTTTAAAAATACTACATAATTAGTGGTATAAACCTTTAAAATAATTTTAACCCCTACCCAGAGCCTAGCCTTAACTTTTTAATTTAGTAAATTTTTAATAAAAACTTTCTAAAATATAATAGGTTTATATATAATATTTAATTAATTAATAGCTTCCTTGCCTATGCTAGTTTATTTATAAAATACCATGCTTATACCAGTCCTAATAATATTAATTATATATTTTAAATATAAGGGTTTATTTATTACTATATAAACCCCCTAGGTAATTTATAAAAAAGTAATAATATTATATTTATATAAATATACTAGCTTAATTTTATTAAGGCCCTTAAACACTATTTAAAATATAATATATTTTTAAATAAGGTTAAAAAGGCCCTGGAGTAGATTAATTAGTTTATTTATATATATAATTTATAATATAATATTTTTTTTAGGCTAAGTTTATTTTTAAGTAAAATATAAACCTTGGCTTCCTGCGGTTAATACCCTAAATATAATTTATAACTAATAGTAAGCTAGGCAAGTGCTATAACCTCCCTTTTTAATTAAAAATATTTAAAATAAGTATTTTTATGCTTAATATTCCTATAATTTTTTTCTTAAAGTATTAGCTTAACCCTATTATTATTAATAATACTTATTTAATAAAAGCTAAATAAATTTTTTTTTTTTTTAAAAACTACTAAACCTATTTAATAATCCTTTATTAACTAAGTTGCACCCTAAAATAAACCCCTATAATATTAATATTTTTATTACTAAAAATAAAAATAATTTGGCACCTTGGCAGTTTTTTACTATAATTAATTTTAATTACCTACTTTATTTACTACTTTACTATATTTTTTTTTACACCAAGGGTGGGATAAGCTACTCCCATAAATAAAAAATTTATACTTTAATATAAATTAAATAAAAATAAAGTAAGGACTAAAACTAGGTAATAATAGCTATATTTTACTAATTTTATATTTTTACCTATAAAAAAAGTTTTAATATCTTACACCAGGGTGGCATACTTTTTTAATAATTTTTAATAAATATTTAGCTATATATAAAGAATTTATATTTATTTAATATTTACTATAACTAAAAAACTTATTATTTTATTAATTATAGTAATACTTCTTAGGCCTTAAATAAAGGTTATAATTTAATATAAATTAATAAGTATATATTTTTAGGCTTTAATTATAAGGGTAGTAACTAGTATATATATAAGTTTTATTATAATTTTATAGCCCTGGTGCTGTGGTATAGCACCTTAACTTTATTTATTACTTTTATAATTAATTTAGGGTGGGAAAAGGTTATTAAAAAGCTTATTTAAAATAATAATAATAACTTAATATAATACTAGCAGGACTGGCTAGATTTAGTATACTATATATTTTATATAAAAAATAAAATAATACTTTAAAAATTTAAAAATAGTACCTTTGGTAAGTATATTACCTATTATTTTATTATTAAGTTTTAAAAATAAAATTTACTTTATTCCTATATTTTTTACTAGCTTAAGCAAAGGTTTACTATATAAAAAAATATTAATAACCTTATTTTAGCTAAAATTCCTAACCTAAATATTATTTTTAAAGGGGATTTTAATCCCAAGGCCCTATTTAATATTATTAAGGGTAATATAATTTATAGGTTATATAAAAAGCTTAAGCTAAATATATTATATTACCTTAATAATAATAAAAAGCCCTGGAAATATAGCAAAGGCTTTTTTAAGCTATTTTATTTTAAAATAATTTTTTATAAAGGCTATTACCTTAAATACTAATAATATAATAATAGTGCCTATGTTAATATTCCTAACCTAAATAATAAAAAGAAAATAATCTAAATAGGTAATAAATAAGTAATACCTTATTTTTTTTACCTTTTTTATTACTACCGTGCGCACATTAATATAAAAGTTATTTAAAATATTTTAGCTATTAAGTATATTTATAAGTATATTTATAAGGGATTCCCAAAGGCATGTATTTAATTTAATATTATTAATAAAATTACTTATTATATTAATAATTAATTTATTAGTGCCTTGGAGGCTATATAGTATTTAATAAAGTATTTTATTTACTTTTATTATTTATTAGTTAAGCAGCTTAAAATTTATAATAAAAATTATAATAAATTTATTTTTAAAAAAAACTAAATAAAGGAGTAAATTAGGAAGAAGGGCAAGGTATTAAAAATTATTAAATTAAAGGCTTTTTTTAAGTATAATTAAGTAAACCTAAATAAGGAACCATGCCTGTATTATAAGATGCTAAAAATATATATTTAAAATTTAAAATATATATTAATACTTATTTTTATAAGCTTTATTAACCCTTTTATTTTACTTTTAGGGCCCAAGTATAGAAGCCATGTTAATAAAAGTTTTAAATTAATTAAATATTATATTTTAATTTTTTTTATAAAAATAAATACTATTTTTAAATATTTTTTAT